TGGAGCACCTTAAGAAGGTCACCTTCCACACTAACTTCGTTTTTACATCATTAATTTTAGTGCAAATTAGAAATAAGGATTCACAACCTAATTTTACAAATTAGAAGAATGCGGATTACAAATTTAGACGCGCACTAGTAGCTTGTGGCTGTCCAGGCGACTGCGAGTCTCAGGCGGGTTAGTCAACATGTTTGAGCATCATATGGGATGATTGTTGATCGAAACCGTTGCTAATTAGCAGTCGACCAAAGGTGTCACCTGGACAGCGAAAGTCTACTTGTGATTTGGGCCGCTGATGCCTACTACTTCATTCCTTATGCTTGCACATCATATATATATATATATATATATATATATATTGAACTTGGACTTCGTCAAGAAAACCATTTGTGGCGAATTTTTGACAAAATGAATGTCTTTGCTTCTTGATAAATTACGTACATCCCACTTTTAGAGCCTGGAGGCCAAACGGGTTGCCTATATGTCGAGCGGGTTGCCTATTGCTGTATTTGTAACGCCTTGAGTGCATCACGTAGTATAAAAATATCGTAATGGCGTGATATGCCTTGATATCACCCATCACAACTGAAACAGGCTCTTGTGGAGTTAGAATTGGTTATCAATCACATACGTTCATTAATCAGCGAGAACTTGTGAAATTCGAAGGCCCAGCGTCGCGATCGGCGCGTCGCTCACCGCAGCCTCCCGTAGCGCTTGTTGCTTGCTCGTTCGTTTTGGTTTCCGTTTTGTGTAGTGGCGTAGCCAGTGCGTGCGTGCATGCGCATGGAAGCACACGCGGCGACGTGCGTTGCGTTGACCACAGGACTGACAGCCGCGCACGCGTCGCCCGCCCACGACGTCCGAAGAGGCAGCCGGGTCCTCCGCATTTCGATGGATAAGACGCGGAGCGTGTTGCACAGCAGAAGCTGCTTGGCTGACCGGGAGGCGCCACGTCCTAGGCACAGGGGCCAACGTTTGGGCTGTCGCTCTGCTAGCTTCCTCAGTGTGAAAAGCGAGTTGCACACCGCAAAGCATTTCGCCCCGAGGAAGGTCGCAGAATGGCGACCGAAACGTGTGCACCTGGGCCTAGAACGCGGAGTCTCCCGGAGAGCCAAGCAGCTACTGACTCCGGCCGCGGAAGCCTACGCTCTCGCGTTGCAGATCCTCGAACTTGATCTGGATAAACCTTGCTGCCTCTTCGCACAGCGCGTAGCGTTTAATGGAAAGGTAGACTGATAGTCGTGCCTTCAAATTGTGATCACGCATCAGAAAGTACTGTGTAGGTTAGACTCTGTATGATCATGTGCAAAGCATGTATTAGTCTTGTCGAAAATTTTGATTATTATATGATACCAATTGGGAAATACGGAACTCATTCTGCAGATGTGTTAATGTTAAGGCTTAAGCCTCGTTTGATGTAAGGAAAGAGGTCGTATTACATTGACCATAAGGGGAGGTGTGGTGCTTCAATTGAAGCTCGACTTGTTTTGGTTGGAGCATTTTACGCAACTCATTTTTGACTACATAGTGCACGCAATATCTAGAAGAACGCTATCACTAAATATCCAGACCCGATCCAATGTCTGGATATGTGTAAATAACACCAATATGGGCTGCAACATTGCTCAGTTGCTTTGTCGTTGTGTTGAGCATTTGGAACCCAAGCTCTCTTTCCTTTAAAGGCGAGTTCATAAGTGTGTTCACCATTCATTCCGCATGAGACGATGCGGCGGGCCGCGTATGTCCTGCATGGGATGTAGGCTGATCGACTTGAGCGACGAATCTGCATTGTGCAATTAGTAGATGTGTTTCTAGGCGCATCCACGATGACTTGAGACAACAATAGACCTCCGGATGTATTGTCCGATTCAACTTCTTCAGATTTCTGAATCAATCAATAAGAAATTTAATAAACAACTACGCTGAGACGTAATTTTGAATTACTTATTTTTGGTGCCACAGCCTACGACACGACTTTCTGGAGGTGTGAGTTCTCTGAATGAAACAAGTCAAAGTGGTGTGGCTTGTCACCTGCATGTTGAGTCGTCGCTGAGCGATCAGCGCCGGTGTAGATTGTGTGTGGGGAGGGGGGATTGGGTCGCCCCAAACATCTGCAGGGGATATAAAGTCCGCCGCGTGTCCGCCAAGGGACGTAACCTCCTCTAGCCGCTCGAAAGACCGCCGAGAGAAGCCCAGTGGAAGCCCTGTGAGGGTACCGACCGGCGACGCGTGTGCGCAGGCCGGCGTCTGTGCGTGCGGCTACGACGCCGCCGCCGTCGACCACGACGACGATGCGCGCTGCGGCCGGACGGCGCGGGCGCCGC